GACACGCCCACAGACACACAGACAGACACACAGACACAGACACAGACACAGACACGCACACAGACACAGACACAGACACAGACACACACGCACGCACACAGACACAGACACAGACACAGACACACACGCACGCACGCAAAGGCACACAGACACAGACACAGACACACACACACACACACACACAAACACAAACACACACACACACACACACACACACACATCGTGTAAGAATTCAAACTTCACAGCTAGATTGCGTGTGTGTGCTGCTAGAGACAGTGCTGTGCCATTTACAGGTAGATTTGGTTTTACACTGATTTACACCGATTCATTAATTTTATATGAAACATCTGGTTTTCTGCTTTCAGTCCATTAAGACCCAAATAAATAGAGAAAATAATCCATTGAAATAATGATCTTTTGTTCATAAAGGATTTAATTTGCCGCATGAGGGTTTCTCAGCTGGTGTTCAGGAAAGTTAATAATGAATTAAATAATGAAAAATATAAAAGTAAAATAAATAATTTTAAAATACAAATAATCAAAATAAAATAAATTAAAACAATTTAAATGTAAAATTAAAACGAATACACCATTTTAAAATAAAAACAATCAAAATAAAGGACTGAGTGAAAAAAAAATAATAATGTAAAATTTAAATGAATAATTAAAAAAATGCTTACTAAAATAAAATCATAAAATTAAAATAAATAATTTTAAAATAAAAAATAATCAAGTCACAACTAAAAACAAATTAAATAAAAAAATATCAAATTAAAATAAATAATTAAAAAACGCTTACTAAAATGAAATAATAAAATATAACATTAAATAAATATTTAAAATGAAACACTTATTAAAAGCAAATTATATTATAAAAAGTCAAATTAAAATGAATAAATAAGATAAATAATAAACATTTAAAAATAAAAACAATCAAAATTAACTTATTAACCCACATCAGACAACCGTGAACATGTGAATGTGTTTTTGAACTAAAATATACACACCCGCGCAGCGTTGTAGATGCGGAA